TCAACCTCTCCTATTAGACACTTTCTTAAAACACGGCTGCTCTCCTTCATGAACATACATAAGACTGTAATTGTGCATTCCTCAGTGCAATTATTGGTTTAGGTCTGTCTCCCTCATTATAAACTTTAAGAAGGCAGAGCTGTTGTCTGTGTCATTCTAACTGTATTTCCAGTACCTGGGATAGCAGTTGTTATGTAGCAAGTATTCAATGAATATGCTTTGCAGGGAATTAGAAGAACAAACAAACAAACAAACAAATAAAACCAAAACCAAGGCACACATCCATATTTCCAAAGATCTAGAGACAAAAGAGAAGCCGAAGGTCATAATTAAGGTGTAACAGCCTCAGGGTTAAAAATTGGCACTCTCTTTCCACTCTTCCGTAGCTAGTCAATCCATAAGACATTGACTTAAGGAATGAGTGGGTTTCCTCCTTTCTAGTCTGGAGAAAAGAAAAAAAAAGTACTCATAGAGAACACTAAACACGCTCTCACACACGTGCACGCACACACACATCTAAAAAAGAAATTACCCCAATATGTGCAGAGGTGTGTCCAAGCCAGAACCAGCCTTTAGATAAGAGAAATGTTAAATACAGCATTCTTGTCAAAACTGGACACTAGCATTCAACTTATCCTGCTCCATGTGATCTCAGGAGGAGCCTTAGCATCTGTGTGCTAATTACACACACAGTGGCCAGTTCCAGGTGCAGCAGATCTGACTTGCGTGGAGGAAACATTGTCCAACATTCTTAGCTTGTAAATGACACTAAGGCTTGGGCTGCCGCCGCCCCAGCCCGCCCCACCCTGTTCACAATCCACTCCCCCTCCTCCTTCTACTCAGGTCAGAGCCAAACTAGCTGCCTGGTTTGGTAACAAGATCGAGGGAAGACTCAGAGGCCCAGTGGGCTCCATTATTACGCACGCCCTGCAAGAAGGGCCACCTCCGGGGACTGTTGCTGCAAATCTGAGCTCCACTTGCTGCCAGGAAACCTTTCCCATTGAGGACACCCTGGGCACGCAGCGCAGCCTCAGGTTCAGGGGGAGGCACCCCACCCATCTGCCAGAGAGACAAAGATCACCAGAAACAAAGGACGCGCGCGCACATACACACAGAGACCAGCACGCACCAAGTCAAAAGCAAATACCGACACTTGGTGCAATCTCAAGCCAAACAGCCAGCTTGAGGTGTCTTGAAATAGATTTTGAAATGATCCAGGAGGGACAATGACTATAGGATAATGACAGGCACTATCTGGGGTTTGGAACCCACTCTGCCTCCACCCTCCTCCCACCCTCTCTGCTGTTCCCAGGCGCATTTTTCTGCCTCAGGACACACGCTGCCAGGAGCAAGAGTGTTTCCACTCACGGAAGCGCGCACACGCCGGAGGTGGAGGCTGGGCGAGGGGTGGCCCAGAGTAGGAGATACCCACCTTTCGGATCCCAGTTAACCTGTTTCCTTGGAGTCTCGATTGGAAATTTCATTGCTCCGTTGCCCAGATGGGGAGGAAAAGGGAAAGAATCGAAACGATCAAGTCCTCAAGCTCTCAACACCTCAGCCCAGCAGTTCAACAACAACAACAATAACAAAAAAATCTCCAAGGAAGGGAGAGCCCTGGACTGGCTCGCGGAGGAACCCCAGAGAAAGAGAGATGAAAACCACTGGCTTGGGAGAGAACTGGAGACACGCCTGGGATGTTTGCACCGGTGGAGGGGGTGTCTGGCCGCAAACCCCCTGGGCACAAGGAAAAGTGAGGTCCGCGAGGGGAGGATGGAGGAGGAAGATAAAAAGGCCAAGCTTCGTCAATGCACGTGGGCGGGTCGGGGCTGAGCGGCTGGCGGGCCCGCGGAGGAGAGAGAAGCCCACTGCAGTGTCACCCCGGCCCCCGCAGCGGGTGCACACACGCCGGCACACACACTGCGCGTCAGCCTGGCTCGATGGTGCAGAGCGCACGCCCCACCCCAGCAGTGGCTCCTCGCCTGCAGGCGACGCCCCCCACTCCCCACCCCCGAAAAGCCATTGGACAGAGGGGTGGCGCGGCGCTCGGAGAGCTCGCGGCGACCCTCCCCGCTTGCGCTCGGCTCTGCAGAAGCCGCGCCGAGACGGGAGAGATCGGGGAGGGTGGGGATGCCTGGCCAGGGGGTGGAGATGCCTGTCCAGGGCTCAGCCCCTGCCCCCCCCGGCCTGCGGCGGTGGCAGCGGCAGCAGCAGCTGCGGACTTGCCCGCTGTGCGTGCGGTGCAGGCGGCTGGGAGCTGCGGGGCGGCGGGCGCTCAGCTACTTACTGGCTCTGCGGGCGAGCGGGCGAGGAGGCAGCCACGGCTCTCGGTGGAGTTGCCTCCGGAGACACGCTCGGCTGCCTGGAAGGCGCTGCAGGGGGTGGAAGGAGAGTCGAGGTGGCCCTGCCGCAGACCTTAGCTTCGGGGATCACCCCTTGTCACCGCTCCCGCCCTGGGCGCGCCCCGCTTCTTCTTCTCACTTCATTTCCCCCGCCGGCGTCTTCCACCCGGCGCGGGTGCTCCCGCCGGCGGCGCCCCGAATCCACATCCCCGGCGCGCTCGGAGGAGGCAGGTGCCAGCCATGAGCCTTTTGTTCTGGGACCGTTCAGCAGCATCAGCTCCGCTCTCCCGCCCGGGGAAGCTGGCTCCCCAGGCACAGCTCCGTGTCTCCTCCAGCTACTCCCTGCGGGTGGCAGGGGCCGCTGGTGGGAGGCTGGGGAGGAGGGTGGAGAGAGACGCGGTGGCCCCAGAGGAAGCGGAGTTGCCAAGACCCGGGGCCCCAGGAGGCAGTCCCAGGGCCCTGGGGTACAGGTGTGCAGGGCTCCAGACACTTTCAGGCCTCTTCTCTCATCCCCCCACCCCATCCTGAAACTACGCAAGGGCTTGAGGTGGGACCTCAGTTTCCAAAAGAACCCGGTGGGCTGAGATGGTCCTGAATGAGCCGCCGGAAGTATCGATCTGAAGGACGTTTAGAAAGGACTTTGGGTGCTGGCATCGGAGGCCTGCCCTGGTACATGCTGGGGAGATACTCTCTAGACGAAGGCAGGAATTGCATACAGCGGTGCTGGCGAGGAAGTAGTTTGAGTTACTATCCATGCCACGCAGATCTGGAACCCCTCCTAGGTGCCATCACTGCGCTAGGTGCTGGTGATATGGCGAAGAACAAGATAGGCATGGACCTGGCCGCACATGCCATGGGGTGGGGTTAGACGGTCATTGCCTTCATTTAGTGACTTCCGGGCTCATTCCCCAGCCTGCCAGCTATGGCCCTAAACCCTGCACTGAGTTTTGCTCTCTGAACTGCTTGAGGCTTCTGAGGAGCCTTGTGTCAGCAGCATCCTTTTCATCATCTCTTCTCCATGGTCACATCTATTCTCCACGGTTTCTGAGTTCCAGGGCAAGATCCACAGAGGGCCATTGTCACCCGTGGCACGGGTTGGGTTGGTAAGTGCTTTGTCACTGACCCTACAGGCTGCCATGGCTAGAGCCAGAGTTCTCTGCAAACCTTGTTCAGAAAAAGCTGGTACCAATCCTTCGGGCAGGTTCCCAGGCATGTCAGAGCCACCTTCTCTGGGACTCTGTTTCCGCACTTTGCTTCCCTCTCCTAGAAGGCTTGAGAGCATGGATGAGATGGGAGGGAGACAAGCAAGGAATTCCTGCTTCCCCAGCCATGCCACCAGAAACAGCAGTATGTGTGTGGAATCTGCTCCCTGGCCCACAGGGGAGCTCCCAGAAAGCCCGCAGAGCCTCCCCTGCCCTCTCACGTGCTCATGGCCAGGAGTGCTCGAGACCACTCACCGCAATGCCATGTTTCACCTGCATCCGAGTGAGAGAGGTGTTCCCAGAGAAAGATACCCTCTCGCCTGAATCCTCTGACGATGGGGATGTCAGACTAACATTTATCAAATGCATCCCTCACCTTCTCACACTTCCCTCCATCCAGCTTCCCTACATCTTTCCTCTGAGGAAGCCCTAACGGATCCCATTTTACAGGTGAGAAGATCAAAGCTAAGAGAGATAAACAGACACACATACACACACAACTCCCCCAAAATCCCACAACACTCCCAAGGTCACAACACGGATATTCAAACCCAAGTGAGCTCATCTGGTCCATGACCCATGAATCTGACCCTAAAGCTGTCTCATGGGTTCTGTTGGGTAATGATGATCTACAGACTACATTATCCCAGACGCCAGCCCCTCCGTTGCAAAATGAGTTGCACTAACCTTGTGCCCCGGGGTCTCCATCAGGGAATTAGTTCACTGTTCAAGGCAAATTCCTGAGGCACAAAATGCAGCCTTAGGCTGCATCATTCAGCCACTCAATGAACAAATAGCAAGCACCCCCTGTGTATAGATGGTTTGCAGTTTTTCTTAAAAGTTATATTGGGACCTGGAGAACCTGGCCCAGAAAAGCATCAGCAGGACAATCGATGGGTTGAGGCTGGGGAGGATTGGAATGGGCCAACTGGGGTGAGGGAGCAGGACCAGGACCAAGGGCTGAGGGCGCAGGACCAGGGCTGTGGAGTTCTCTTGCTGTTAAAGACTTGCACTAGTATTTGGCCCTTAAGATCCTCTCTGCTAAATCACTTGGTGCCTCACCACCACCACCATCACCACCACCACCAAGAACAACCTCTGGGGCTTTTTCTCATCTCTGCTTTCACAGAATAATGTAGACAAAGAACGTTGTATATGTTGGGGGGGGAGGGGGGAGTAGAGGAGGAAGGGAAAGGCAACTTCAGCAAAAATTAACCAATTAGTTAATGAATCCCAGCACCCCCTCCTCTAACTGGCCTAAATCAAGTCCAACTCCTAACTTGCTTAGTATTTGGAATGGACAGCTGGGGACTGGGGGTGGGGTGTAAGGGATAGGCCCCCTCCCCTGCCCCCAACCCCAAGTAAAACAACTTAGCACATTTACCCTTTGAGTTAGTGCCATCCCCTCCCACCAGCTTCCATCCTATGCCTTCGTTATCGCAAACTAGGTTGCACTTACCCCAAACAGGAGTGAAGAAGAGGTCTGTGTGGAGGGAAAGCATCCAGAAGAGTTGCCGCGCCAAGCGGTTCCCCCTCGCTCTGCGCAGCCCCAACTTCCATGGTTAGTGCTGATAGCAGCGGGCGAAGCCTGGAAGGAAGAGACCACCTAGGGCTCCTGTGGCAGGAAAGCAAAGCATCCTGGTGCAAAGTGGCTCAGCTTCCCCTCTGCAGGCAGCTGCCTCCCCTGAGCGCTTTCCTCCGCAGACGCAGGTCCTTGCCCGGAGGCGTGGCTGCAGGTCCCTGGGTCTCTGCAGCTCAGAACCTGCAATCCTTGCGACACCGCTTTACCGATAGCCTGGTGGCCCAGCGTGGCGTGGGAGGGCCGGCGGGGGCAGCGCAGAGACCCCAGTCATCTCCCCGGAGGAAGTTTTCCGCGAGTTGGATCCCTTCCTTCTTCCCTCCCCACTGCACAACGCGGACCGGTGTGAGAGCAGAGGAGAGCTGACTGTTTCGCGTGGGGTCTCTGAGTGGCTGTCCCTGCACGGCTCAATCTGAGAATTGCTGAACGCGGATCCCAGCGTGCGCCAGGAAAGATCCTTGCTGGACAGGGATTCAGGGCGGGCGGGAGAAGAGTCCACAGGGAGAGATGAAGCAGCTTGGGGAATCTTGCTTAGTTAGTGCTGGTTCCACAAACGGAAGGAGAAGGGGAACAGATCGGATCAGAGTCAACTTTAATTCACGAATATCAGGATGCACTCATTCATCTGCCTCGGGTTGTTTCACCTTGAGGTCCAGAAGAAACCCCAGTCTTCCAAGATCTCCCCCATTCCCAAGACACCTCCAAGCCCTCTTCCCAAAGAGAATCACCTCATTTTGTGAAGAGAACCCTGTGCAAACCCTGTGTAGAGAGTCCTGGCGGAAAACTGATGGGGTCATTCTGCACCAAAGTTAACTTGAACTTCTTCCACCAGAAATGTTTTATTTCCCTAGTGAAGTCGCCCCTGTGTTCTCAGCATTGAAGCACTCCTACATTTGTCTTCGTGTCCCAACCAGAATCTGCAGAATCACACCCTTAAATGTATGTTGCTCTAATCTTGGGCTCTGCTGTTTTGGGAAAGGCTGGAGGCATGGGAGCAGCTCTAGAGCAGAGGGTGTCAGATGTCAGACTCCTACCCTCCCCAACCCATACTCCCAACACACACACACACACACACACACACACACACACACACACAGTGTGTAAATCCTGCAGCTTTATTGCCTTGACTCAAAGCTCTCAATGCGGGTTAATGAAGACAACATACTCTGAACTTCAAAGAAGTTGTAATAAAATATCCAGTTGATGAACATGTTTCATAACCAGGAACCATATCCTCTTCCTCTGTGAGTTTCTTTGTTTTACATTTTAGCCCTTGAGAAAATATAACTTAAGCACCCATAAATTATTGTGTCAAGCATTTATCCAAATTGTGCAGAGTTTCTTATAAAAAAGTTTTAAGGTGATTCCCTCTCTGAGTTATTAGCAAAATATAAACCCAGAATTTTTTTTTTTTTTTTGAAAGCTGGAGCTAGAGTTGTTTTGGTTTTCCCTTCAATTTTTTTTTTATTTTGAAGAAAAAAAAATTCAAACACAAAAATGCTATGCTCACTTAGTAAAAATCAGGATCCACTCAAAGTTTGTACCTGTTCTATATATTTAGTGTATTTTATTCTAGGAAATTTCCTCAGTCTTCTTTTGTTTATTTGTTAATCCTCACCAGAGGATTTCCCCCCCCCCCCCTTTCCATTGCTTTTCAGAGAGAGTGGAAGGGAAGGAGAGATAGGAAGAGAGGAAAAGAGAAAAAAGAGAGGGAGGGAGAGTAGGAGGGAGGGGGAGAAAGAGAGAAAGGTGGGAGAGACACATCAATTGGTTGCCTCCCAAATACACTCAGATCTGGGGCAAATTTTTAACCCAGGTATGTGCCCTTCACCAGGAATGAGCTCGTTACCTTTGGTGCATGCCAACACTCTAACCACTAAGCACACCAGCTAGGGCCTCGCTCTTTTTATTTATTTTAATTTAATTTAATTAATTAATTTATTTTTAAAAAATATATTTTATTGATTTTCCACAGAGAGGAAAAGAGAGGGATAGAGAGCTAGAAACATTGACGAGAGAGAAACATTGACCAGCTGCCTCCTGCACACCCCCTAGTGGGGATGTGTCCCCAGCCAATATACATGCTCTTGACCGGAATCGAACCTGGGACCTTTCAGTCTGCAGACCGACACTCTATCCACTGAGCCAAACCAATTTCAACTCTTTTTATTTTTTAATGACATTGATTTTTTTAAAGAGTCCAAATTCATTTGCTGTCTGCTAATGTTTAATGTTATGATATAGCTAAAGATCAGTTGAGTGAAAGGGGGGAAAAACACATGATTTCCTGACCACAGCAGGACATTAAAATAACTCAAGCCCTTCTATAAATGTGTGCATGCCAGAATCCATGAAACAGAAGTAGTTAGTTGTATTCCTGCTCATTCAAGCTTCTCTCCGGAATTAGCCCCAGTCTTAGTCAAAGTAGTTATCTTTGTTTCTTATTCATCAAACAGCCCTGTCTTAGGGATGGATGAGCATTTTCACACTTACACATTAAGTTGAAAGGCACATATGGTATTTTACTGAATTTAAAAACAAGAATTCAGCAAGGTTACACACTGTAATGAGTGAGCTCTGGTTTTCATGTCATTCTAGGAAGGTTTTAATTTGAACCAAAAATTTAAGGCGTGTAGAAAGCATTCATGCTTTCAACAACCTATTTATTTATGAGTAATCCTTAGTCCGAGAGTCTTCTGGAAAAGAGTAGAGCATCCTTTTGAAGGCACCTACTATCCTGCTAAAGAAGTTGTAATATATAAAACATCCAGTTGATGAACATGTTTCATAACCAGGAACCATATCCTCTTCCCCTGACAAAAGCTCCTCCCAGTCAGCTAATGAAAGACTTGGGATAGTCTGATCAATGGTTTTGTTCAGGAAGAGGTGGGACATAATCTCGGTGTCCAATGGGAATGTTTGAAATAGATGAATTTCATTTTGGAAGCAAATATGTGTTTGGTTGAAAATGATTGGACCAAATGGAATGTTACAGCTTCCTTTCTTACCACTAAGTCATCTAAAAGTTGGCTGAATCATGCAATCAGATTTGGAAAGAGATCATGTCAAGATACTTCCTGGCTCAGCTTTTGATCTCTAAAGAGCATTCTAATTTATATAATCATCCAATATTTCTAAATATATCTAGTGGAAGAGATTCAAAACTTGGTATTGTAAGCTTTCCAAATTTTGAGAAACTTTGATTAGGTCAAATATTTTCTTATTTCTAGTCTACATCTTCCTTCTTTAATTTCTCAATACCTAAGTGAAGATAAAGACCAACCAGACCTTTACAATAACTTTTATCTTTTAGAGATTAAATTGTCCAACATCCTCTTCATGACAAGTAACTCTTTTTACCTCTTTTCCAAAACATACAAGCATTTTGTCAACACATTTTTCTTTAAAAATTTTTTTTTTATTTTTATTTCAGAGAGGAAGGGAGAGGGGGAGAGAGTAGAAACATCAATGATAAGAGAGAATTGTTGATGGACTGCCTCCTGCACACCCCACCTTGGGATCAAGCCTGCAACCAAGGCATGTGCTCTGACTGGGAATTGAACTGTGACCTTCTGGTTCACAGGTTGACATTCAACCACTAAGCCACGCCGGTTGGGCAACACATACTTTTTAAAAAAAGCATCTTTTCACTAAAGGTTTCAGAAAATAAAATAAAAATCTCTCTAAGCCTTACTAAGTTTCTCCATCTATAAAATAGGGAGAAGTAATAAGTACAAAGTATTTGGCTAACTTACCCATATGTTAGCCAGCCATTCTCTTCAGTAGGAAGTACATCCAAGCAAGTGAATTGTGCTAAGCCTAACTCAGTTTCTTCTCCTATAAAATGAGATACTACATACCTGGCTATTTCTACCTACAGTGTTGCTTAAGAAGATAATAGATGTAAAAGTATTTTTAAAGGATCAGTCTTATAATTACTTGCTTCATAAGATTTTCCTTATTCTTTGCCAGGCACAGAGCAAGCATATTAAGATGACATCATTTATTTCTCATAACAATCCCAGAATAACTCCTTATCTGTATACCTATTGAGGAGGGAATTGGAGCTAGAAGAGGCTAGTGACCAAGTAAACGTAGATAGGGGTGGAAGTAGAAATCAAACCAGATCCCCACTCATCTGTGAATAAAGCAGTTATATAACCAGAAAGTTTAGTTATCTGAAACTTCTTGTTTCAGATGCATTATGGTTAAATAAGCATTTATGAGACCCTTGTCCTTTCTTTGCTGAGCACATTCCTCCAACCTTTCCTCTGATTGGTCCCATGTGCGTGATTATGGTTTATGGGTCTCCCTTGGTAACTTTGCGTCAATCATTATCTGAATCATTCATGTTTCTTGATCAGTAATTTTCTTCTTAAAACTTGTATCAAACAAGATATGTCTCCCTTGTTGACTTTATATGGCACAGTTACTTCCCACACTATTCAATTTATCATCCTTTCATTTTTTTTAAAAAAAATTATCTTTATTGTTGAAAGTCTTATGGATGTCCCCATTTCCCTGTCATTGACCTCCTCCAACCTGCACCCTCCCCAGGCCTTCACCACACTATTGTCTGGGTCCATGGATTATGCATAGATGCATAGAAAGTCTTTGGTTAATCTCCCTCTCCCCCTCCCCCTTCCTTCTGAAATTCATCAGTCTGTTCCATACTTCTGTGTCTTTGGATCTATTTTGTTCATTAAATTCCACATATAAGTGAGATCATGGGATACTTGTCTTCCTCTGAAGACATTTTCATTTTATTGCTCTATTTCTCTAATCCTGTGTGTCTAGCTTTAATTCATTCTTGTTTATACGAATGCTAAGTGTTTGCATATGAGGCAGGTGTTATAGAGTGAAAAGACCATCATGACAGAGATTGGGACTACTAATTTCTAGTCCCAACACTGTCACTAACAA